TCAGCAGCTCCCTGTTCATTCTTCTTCCTTCCTTAATCATCTGCAGTGACACTTCTTAAACGCAGTTTGGAAATCCATAGTCCACACATTTGCCAAATTTCACTTCTGCTGGGGAACTTTGATATTTTCTGATCAAAATGGTTGAGAGTTGATTTGGACTTTACAGATACAAGTTAAATGTGCGACCACTGTGACCAAAAGCTCTCTAGATTCTGTTCCTCACATGTCTGGCAAGGCAAAAGTTGTCCCAAAATTTGTTACTGCCTGAAACAGGATACAAATAAATCAGCCTTCTCAGCATAACTTCTGCTATTTCCTTTACTGATGGAAGGAAGTTCAGAGGATGCACTCTAAAGGTGATGTTTGGGTGGTTGCAGAGTTACAAGGGTCACTGTACTGCCAGCCCTTTCCTATTTCTGTCTATCAGGGGGTTTTCAGGCCAGACCTTTGAGGTTTGTGGTTTGTTATTCTGGTCTGTCACTTCTTTGCATACTATTTCTTCAGGAGCTGTAGAAAGATGAGAGAATGAACTGTTGCTGACTGTTCACTAAGGAAATTCACCAAAATCAGGAAATAAGCTTTCACTTACATGTCTTTACAGGGCTAATTATTTGATTAAGGGCTTGTTAGTTTAAGTGTTTGCTGATTCGGAGCTTGTCAGAGGGGAGAAAGCAGAGAATAACGAGGATATTGGAGAATGATTGGAGGCTATTTGGGAGCATTTAGGAGCTCTAGGCAGCTAGAGCTTTGGAACTGAGTTCTACCTCCTTCAGTCCTAAGTCACTGTGTTAACTGTAAGGTCTATCCTCATGTTTCTCCTCAGGATTTCATCTCCATCTCCTTTATGGAAATTGGTGCTCAATCAAGGACACTTGCTTCCCGGAACGACACCACGGCTGAGCAGCTGAGCAAGCAGTGTGCTGAGAAGTTTGAAGTCTCCCATCCCACGGACTATAGACTCTTTGTTTATGTTGATGACCAGTGGCTGCAGCTGGACAAAAATGCCCTTCCTCACCACATCAAAGCCTCCCTGCTGAAGAGTGAAACCAAGAAAGATTTCCATTTTATTTATAAACCAATAGACCATAAAACCCCATCAGTGCCAATTGTCAAAGAGTCAGACTTTGCCTAAGGGCTGTGCTGCTTGTTTTACTGTGTTTGCTGTCATCCTGGAAGGGTTGGATAGTTTACCTCATGAGATCCTCTGGTATCTGCAGATCTCAGAAGGTCTCTGGAGTGTGGCCTTCAACACAGGGCAGATGGGCTAAATGTAAATGCTGTCTGAACACAGGGCATTTCTCAGCAGAGTTCATTTGCAGAAGTAAAAGGAGCATTCAGGAGAACATTCATACTCTGGAAAACTTGAAGTATCAATCCTCAGAACCTCCCACTGGCAATCAGCCAACACTGCAGAATGTAAAAGGACAGTGAAGAAAATCCAGAGATCTTGCAGAAAAGTGGACATTTCCTTCATACTAAATTATAGCAGGTGTGAATCACCTCTGTGCACAAGGCCTGTGAAAGGTCTGCACACACCTCAATCTGTTTGGAGGTAAGACTGCATTTGTGCCTTACAGTATGTGTTCACCCAGTTTGAACAAACTGGTCTTGTCTGGTGTGTTCAGTGTCATAGGGTTGCCACCCTCAGCAGAACTCCATCTCTGTCTTGCTGCCAACAACACATTTTTGCCTTTGAAATCCTCTTAATTACAGACCATGCAAGGTGATCCTGTACCTTTACTAAGAATACATTTTCTGCCATCCATTTGTCACTGAAATCAGGTAGCATAGGTATTTTCACCGATGCATTTTTCTCAAAGATTGAAAGTCTTCACCATCTGTTTTACATGTACAGCAGTTTTAGTCACATTGGTTGTATGATAGTGTCTGGTTAATTGTGTATTTATTTCCATGTATGATATGGTGCAATTATTTTAAAATAAGCCTTTGTAAAGAACTTGATAATTTTCCCAGTGTATCAAACCAGATTAAAATCTGAAAGTCAAAAAGAGCTAGAATTAAATACTTCTCCTTTTCTACCTGGATGTCATTTTCACTAGCAGGTTACTAGTTCAATAAATTCAGGCTGTTGCAGACAGAACTTGCTAATTCTCCTTTCTACCTGCACTTTCAGTCATTCAGTCATCACAGACTTAAATTTCCCTGAAAACATAAATTCCCAGAGACTACATTGAACTAATGCAAAAATGCGTATCATTAAATTTGAAAACAATTTTTCAGGATTTGATAATGGAAGCAGAAATGTTAATTGAAAGACAGGTCCAGGTCTTCTGGGTGCCTTCATTTAGGCAAGATTCCCACTGTGAATATAAGAGTCCCACTGTGAACCCAAGATACTGGATTGTCTGCATACAGGAGGCAAGTAACCTCCACTGCAGCTACACAAACTTGGAATCAGGCCTAGCAAAGCTCTGACTAGAAAGAAAAGGTGTTTTACTCTGGGGTTTGCACAAAGTTGCCATTGTTTCCTCCCACTGTCATACAGAAAAAAATTGGGACACCTTGGGCCAAGTTACACAAGGTCTTTGTCTTCAGCTCCAAAGGTAAAATTGTGTTCATGTAGCTGGTCACTCTTTCAGTCTCCAGGGCTTGAAATGTCCATGTCTACATGCCCCAGCTGTAGTGTGCAGCAGCCAAATCTGCATACAGACAGCAAACCAGTGCTGTGCATCTGCCAGCTTGGGCTGTATGCACATCTTGTCAGGAAGGGACAACCAAGAAAGAGGAACAGTGAATAACAGCAGCCTTGGTTTCGAGAACATCATGTGCAGAGCTTGCCGTGTGTGACACTGGCGCTGAGCTGACTCCAAATCCAGAGTTATTTTTGCTTGTGTGCAGCTGTCAGCACCTCCACCTTGCCTCTGGGCAGCACACCAGCATATGTCGGAGCTGAACCCCTCCCTTGCACTGCCTTTATCCTCCCGCAGGGCTCTGTGCTCCTGCTGGGAGCCTGTGCTCTCAGGGTGGCACTCAAGATGCCATGACCAAACCTGAGACACAGGTTTTCAGTACCGATCTAGGAGGTGATACTGTTCTCAGAGCACTCACAGGCGTGGCTGCCTCCAGTGCCTCCCCACTCTGCTCATGGCCCAGGACCCCATTTCAGCTTCCCAGGGTTGTCAACCCTTGCCCCAGTGATGCTGCAGCAGAGCTGGTCTCCAGCTCCCCACAGCCCTGTCCCACCTGGCCTCAGCCTGTCCCCATCCTCAGGGAGGTGCTGGATGCCCAGGACTGCCCTGATGCTCCTTACCATCCTACACACACTTCAAGTCCTCTGTTTCGCACTCACTCTCCCAAAGGAGACACCTCCCACCTCTCATCTCCCCCACCCAAACCATGGGCCCAGACTAGCTCTCCACCTCCCACCAGGCTTCTCACCCCTCTTGGTAGAACTCCAAGCCATGTACCCACCTCACTGCCCAGCACCTGCGCACAGGCATCATCACACTGCATGAGCTCCACGTATGGTGGGATTGGGAATCCCCAGCAGCAGACCAGAGAGATGAAGGTGTGACCAGCAGTTTAGGTCTGCCATGGCTGCTCCAAGTTACTTAAGGAAAGATGTATATGTCTGTCAAAATCCTTGTCCTGATCAGGTTATAGTTACACTGGAACACTGACAGTTTCTCACCTAAAAGTAATCTCATGGGTATGAGGTTAAAGTAGAAACACAGAAGGAAAGAAGCTAGAACTGATCTTCTGCTGGCTATTTCTGGAGACTTTGCATCAACCAGGGTCGAGCAACACATTGATGAAGTGAAGTGCTCCAGCACCTCACAGCATCCTGAGACATCTGAGTCAGCAGCTGAACCTCAGGGCCAGGGGGAACTATGGATTACACAGATGATCAGTGAAGCCTGTGGAATCCATGACAGTGCTAAGTCCCTGCATCCCAAACGGGCTCAGACTAAAATTTGCCAAAGCCTAGAACCAGAACCATACCTGAAAAAGGTTGCCATGGCTCTTCCAAACTTGGAGATTATTGACAGTAATGTGAATTACAGAGCCTGGTTGTGAGCAGCATGGAAGGAAATCCCTGTGCTGGGGCTTGGTGCAAAGCAGGGCTTGCTTAGAGGCTGTGTGGCACCCTGATCTGTTTGGTGCCATTATATAAACCACCAGTAACAACTGTGCTAAACGTACTTCTCTGGGGTGCAGGGGTGACCTGGCTCCTCCAGGGCCTGACCGCAGCTGTCCCTTGTCAGGGAACACAAGCTGGAGATGACCCATATAGTGGGATCCTGGAGGACTCAAGACAGGCACATCTGCTGCCTCTCCATGCTCACAGCTCAGTGGTGGGACTCAGGCTCTGCCTGTCATGCAGAAACAGCCTGCCTGGAACAAACATGCTGTTGTTTTGGTGACCCTTACAAAGCTCTGAGTCCCCAGTGTGGGGATCACTGGAGCAGTTCAGCCTGTCCCTTCCTCTGGACCTTGGTGCCCAGGGTCCTGCATTGCTTTGGGCTGGTATCTGACATTCCATGTGGTGAGAGAAAAAAAGTCAAATGTGGGATTGAAATGGGCATTTTTTCATGCTCCATGGGATTTTATTAATTGGTTTTGCCAAGGGGCTTCCTCATGCTGCAGCCCAGGCAAGGAGGAAGCAGTCCAGTCTGGTGATCTGTGGCCTCCCATGGTTAGTCAGGATGGTCACACTGTGACTCACGCTCTGCCCCTCACATGAGCCCTCAGCAGACAGGAATGTTTCAGGAGATTTTGACCAAGTAGGGTTGTGCAATCCAGCCAAGGCCTTCTCAAACACTCATTTGCAGAGAAACATTATGCAATGAGCACTGATTTACTCACAAGGATCCCAGTGTGAGAGAGAGGAACAGGGAGACTTGCTGAACCTGGCAACTTCTGCAAAGAAGGCACAAAAAGCCTGTGTGGTCACTGCATGCACAGAGTTGATTTAACGCCAGTTTGCACCCAGTGATACAATCTGTCAATAATTCACCTAAATAATTACACTGATGGGTCACATACAACTTAAAATAAAAGCCAGAGAAATCAAAAGCAGTTTTCTTTCCAAATTCAAGAGCTTTTGGACCTCCTCATGCTCCAGTCACCAACTGTACTTTGAAACCTGGCACAAGACTTGATTTTTTCCATAGGCTTACGGAGTCATCAAGGGACACCTGGAGGTCACCAGTCCAATCCCTGCAGAAGCAGGGCTGCCTCCCAGGGTGGCTCAGGGCATCATCCTTTCAGTCCTGCAGGTCTCTGGTGCTGAAGGTCATACAGCCTCTCTGGGCCCCTGGTCCAGCATTTCACAACTGTGCACTGTGAAAAATGGTTTCCTCCTATGCAGCTGATGTGAAGACCCTACCTGTCCTACCAGAATCTCTCCTTGGATGGGCATTGCTACTCTGGGATACTGGCCAGCATTGCCTCTGGTGTGCGGGATTACAGAATTGTAGTACTTCTGTTGCCTCCTGCCTCTCTTGGGGTATTGTGTTCCTAGGAAGGAAATGGTCTCTGATTCAGAATTGCCCAAGGTCCTGGCACAAAATTCTGCTTAGTCAGCTCTTTAGCTTAAGCATCCTTTCCCTCTGCTGCTCCTTCATCCCTGTTCCCAAAGGGCAGAGTCTGAGCACAGAAACAAGAAGCCCCCAGCCTCCTGCCCTGAGACAGGCACAGCTGCTCAGCACTTACCTTAATCTGTCCTGGTGAGACCAGATACAGCTGGGTTTGGACAGAGCTAAAATCATACTGCTTACTGGAATCTCTGAAAATGTGCATTATCTCCAATGCAGGTGAACTGCTTTCAGCTGTTCAACTCTGAACAACACTGTGCATCTAAGCTTGCACCACGCAAAAACAGCCAGCATAGAGTGCTTTGGAGGCTGCTCATGGACCTGCCCTCCAGGACCCCTCAAGGCAAAGGCAGTGAACTGCTGTGTGCAGCAGGATGTTGGGTGGAAACACACAGCAGATTTGGCACAGAACAGATGGGAAAAGGGCCTTCAACTCTGTTCCTAGCTAATAAGGAGGACAGGAAGTCTTGGCTGGGGCAAATGACACTCTTCCCAGGGGTTACAGCTACACACAACTATTTTTGTAAATAACACAGCCTCAACTTTGCCCTGTTCTGTCTGGTGGTGACAATTT